ACGGAGTCACAACCGAAAGTACGCTGCACAGGTTCCCGAGGAATACGTCAGAGAAGGCGGCCTGGCTAGCTGCAATTCCTGAAATTTCGATCCGAAAGTCGAGGGTTTCAGGTCGAAGTCTTTGATTTGTTCTCGACACTTTGTCGACGAGGATTACGAGGTCAGCCCAAGCGTCTCAAGAGCGTTGAATGGTACCTCGGTTGGGGCGTGGCGTCGGTCCGACGAATTTCCCGCAGCAGGTCACATCACACGAAGCAAAATGTCCAAGGCTAGAGGTAAGCTTACCAAACATAGAGAAGTTTGTCCGATTCCCCGACCATCCTCGCTGCTACAGGTGCCTAGTGCCGCCATGTTTCCCGAGGAAGGATAAAAAACCAGGACGCGTCATCACTTCCAGACTCCGATTTTCGATATTTCGAAAGAAATATCGAAGTAGTTCGTTCGCAACTGCGTTAAAATACACGTTTTACGAATGCCGTTATAAAATATTGTAGAAATGTCCCTTACAAAGCTTCTAAATTTCATAATCAATTACATCACATAAAAAAAAGCGACATGAGAAGAGGGAGAGAAGGGCGCCCAATATAAAAAGGCTCGTGCGCGCTGGACTTTTTTTTTTGTGGTATTTTTTGTTTTTATGACTACAATTTGCATCGCTTAAGACCAAAAAAAAAACGATTTTTGGGGTGTCAGTGTTCGTTTCAAGAAAAACTGAAAAGGTTCTTGAAAAAAAAAAAAAAAAAAAAACGAGTTAAGAGGTCAATTCTAGAGTATTTTTCTAGCGTGAATCTGTTTATCACGTTCGTTTTCCCCGAAGATGTAACTAAACGCGAGAAAACACGAAAAACCTCCGACCAGTCGTCACGTCAAAAAAGGATATTTCGGCCGCCAAGCGCGTCTCACTCGTGTGAACAGCGCGTGCAATTGTCGCCAGCTATATTCCCCCGCACTGACACCAGTCGTGACGTCTCTTCCTGACCTTTTTTGAAAATGGCAAGAGTGTGCGTGCAGAGCTTTGATAGGCGCCGAAGATGCGCGAGAGCGGGGATTCCGAAAACCCCTTTTATGAAGTAATTAACGCCCAGAGAAAGAGGGGCTTCAGCGGTACTTTGAAAATGACTGCCTGCAGCCTCCGTGCACCAAAAAAAAAAAAAAAAAAAAAATATATATATATATATATATATATATATATATATATATATATATATATATATATATATATATATATATATATATATATATATATATATATATATATATATAATCTCGATAATCGTGATCCCGGAGGCCAAAGAAAGACGATTTGAGTGGTTTTCCTCAAATAAAGAACCGCTTCGGTTTCCCTTTAAGACCATTTGAACGACTGGTAGAACGAAGAGGAGCCTGTCACCGACAACATGCGGCCGAGAGCGGCAATGCCAACGAAGAGGCAGGAGGTGGACAACACATTTCAAACTCCATTGACCACAAAGCTGAAAGAAAACAAAGGCTTGGAGCAGAGGGGCACGTCTAGTAGAGAGTTTTAGTAGATCGTTCCGCTACATCCGGTAACGATACCCGATAACGATACGATGCATGCGCAAAGGCGGCGGCGGAGTATCGGGTATCGTTATCGGAGTCATCTACTAAACTATCTAGTGTTGAAACTTCAATAAGGTTCCCGACATGGGGTTCTTGACTCAACGTGTGTATAGTTAGTATAAGGGCCACCAGGAGCTAATGTGCTTTCTCCCGACAAGAATTGTTCCTGACCACTATTCTAGGGGATAAGAACCACCCGCGTTGGCTCGCGTCATTAGTCCCCAGAATCGAAACATACGTAAGAAGTCAATGCTGCAGGGTTTAAGTTTCTGAGTGACCGGGTATCTCCCAAACAGGATTTATGTGCCAGACAACTGCGAGCGAGAGTTCTTAAAAACTACGAAGCGGACCCGTGTATTGCCTGATCACGCATACGAACGTTTCGAAAATTAGCATTTGCCCATTGCGCAGGCGGCCAACAAGGTGATACTACACCACCTCGCGTCGGTGTACAAGGTGGAGCACCGGTACAGTATATACATGCCCTAGGAAGAACTAACACGTACGTTGACACGCTTAATGGGGCCACCTGGTGGCGATAGGAACTTTTGCTTGACGGAGGAAACACTTATAGCCAGGCGTCCTCAATACTCGCTTCTTACACGCATTTTGAATACCGTCACTGGAGCCACGAAGCGATCAAGATCTCCCAAAATACCTGCATCTCAGGCATTTTGCCTCAGTCGCAGATAGAACGAGGCGCTATACGAGTTCTATATCAGCGTTAAGTGGCGTGGGAAGAACAAGCTACAGTAATTAACACGAACCAGGAGGAGCGAAATTTAGGACCCTCGTCGAGACACACCGTGACTCCGAACCACGGTGCAACACACCGTGCTCCGAACCCAAGTCGCGAGACATCGTCCCCGAGCACCCCCCACCGCGAAGCCGTGAGAAACGCCGGTTAGAATTCCAAGCACGCCGTCCGCTTGGTGAATCCGCCCGCCCGCTTCGCAGGTTCCGACCTTTCGCACCGACGGTCCCGTCCGAGAGGACCCAAACAATGAAGGGCGATCTATTTCTCGACCGGAGAAAGCCCCCGGGGTCAAAGGTAGACGACGGCCGCGTCTCTCGGCATGCAGACCGCGCCAGCGCGAGTGACCTATACTCAGCGCCCCCGTTGCCGTGATGAAGCGATCGCGGGTGTATAGACGCCGGACCAAGGCGCAGCTGTTACCGCACTCGCACGTAAGACGGCCGTCAAACTGGTTCTGGTTCGTTCCTTGTTCGGCGACCATCCGAGAAGTCGCTTTGTGCACTGGCGCACATATCGCTCCCGTCTCGGGCACTCGGGTTACATTTCCAGCGGCGCTCGGACTAATCGAGACAAGCTGAAACAAAGTGATTCTTGACGATCCGATAGTTTACAAGCTGCAATGTGCAAACTAAAACACACACACACACACACACAAAAAAAAAAAGTATCAGGTATTGAGGGTATACAAGAAGGGCACTGATCTGATCTTCAAAGATTCCAACGGGCCGCTCACTTTGTTATTGTTCTTTTTTCTTACAAATACGAATGTCCCAGTACTGATCACGTTGGATCAGATTCGAAGTGAAACTTGATTACGGTATATCGAAGTTGTGTTTCCTTTCGATTCCAAAAGATAAAAACGATTCCCGATACCTACTGATGACAGGTGCCGTCGTAATCGATCTCTACCTTGTGTTTTATTTATTTATTTTTTTGCGGAAAAATATTTACGCTTCAAATTGACAGCCGTAGAAAACAAGACACACGCCTTGGGAAGCACGTTACTTCCGTCAGACCAATTTCGCAGAATGTCCCATTACACGAGCGTATACAAGCACACAAACGCCCGAAAACGACCCCAGCACAGGCGTCATTCAAATTGGCAGTAAATCTCAGGTGAATAAACCAGACATTCCTTTGAGCCCCGTACAACACTATAGCCTTCCATGAGACAGTTATTGGCAGAGACACGGGCGTCGACAGCCTCCAACGGCTGCTACTGCCGACGCAACCGAGCGACTCCAGTTGTGTCAGGTTCTCCCCGAGAGGCGCCCACGTGGCGACCATTCTAGCCGTCGGATATGCAAAAGACGGCCAGTCAAAGCACGCACCGGGAAAAGCGAACGCAAATAGCAGCCTAATTGCAGTCGGAGGCGCCTCCATTTGCGTCCGTGACTGGTCACAGCCTGCTCTGGGAAGGGCCAAGCGTGGCGGAGGCAACCGGGAAAAGGAAGCATAAAAAAAAAAAATGGACAAAGTGCCAAAGCCACATCGTTCTAAGGAAATCGGCCGCTACAATGGACGCTCCTATTTTTAACGTTTCGTAATGGCAGAGAGCCGAGGGAGGATTCTGTGTACGCACTCCTCGTGACCTAGAAGTATACGCGGCTTTCCTTCGCTTCGTTCAAATAAAGACGATCCAATCCACAGCCGGCGAAACCTGCTGACTTTGAAAGAACTTTCTTTTTCGCAGAATGCGTGATCAGTATAGAAAGCTGCCACGGAGATTCATCATGCTGTCCACGAGAAACGACGCTAAATATCTAAATATTTCCTCAAAGCAATATATATATATATATATTAATAGCGTTTTGTGAGCATTCGTAAGTACTAAGCAGCGAGGACATTTTTATAGACGTCTTTCCCTCAGCTCTCGAGCGGCGTCTTATATCTTTACGCAACTTCTTCGAGCGTGTTATGTAACTTACTTCCTTCTTCGTGATTTTTGTTTACGCACTCCTGACCACGAAAAAAAAAAAGATTTACAAATATAGATTTATTTGCTATTTTCTTCGGACGGTTGTCCCTGACTATGAACCTGGGGCTATCGTCAAGCGGTGGTATTTTCGACTAGAGCAAGTTTAGTAAAGCGAGCAACTGGAGCTTGCTAAACTGCTTTGAAATCGGGCGGCCCGAGCACATGTGTGCATAGTGTCATTATAAAAAAAATACCATAAAATAAGACGGAGATGGAAGATGCAGGTCGCATAGCTAACCACATACGGAGAGGGCCTACCTTATCAGTGTTCGGAAAACTGGAAGATGAACCTCTTCCAAATCAAAACTCAATCAGGCAAAGGAAGCTCGCTTCTTTGTCTCGGACAAGGCAGACCTCGGACGCTTACAGCTGTCAGGACACGACGGCAAGGAATGCACCTTCCCAGAGCTTATCAATCAGGCGAAAGATGACGAGTCACGGGGCATCTGACATTCCGAAGAAATTAGATACACCCAGAAGGCGCTCCCCAGTAGAAAATGATGGGACCGCGTAGATGATCATCCCTGCGTGAAACACGGGAGGATCAGGTTGACTCCATTGACCTTTGATAGACAAAGTGAAAGCTGACTTCGATCGTCTCGGACGCATTACTAGATCTCGCTCCATGCAGGCAAGAGCGAATGTCGGGCGTGGAGGTGAACCCCTATCTCTGTCCGCTCGCAGGACCTCCCAAGATGGTGGTCGTGACCAGCGGCCGTACCCGGAGACGCCGCCCGCCTGGAGAGACAGCATGGCTAAAGAAGCGCGCTGCTCGGGGCTTGCCTCGACGGACTTGCTGGTGGCGGCACTGCTCGTGCTGCAGAGCTGCGGCACGCCCGGCGCGCGGGCCCAGCTGGCCGAGTTACCGGCGCTCGGCTGCCGCTACCAGCAAGACCAGCAGACCCTCCTCTGCAGCAACACCACGCTGGACAAGATGCTCACCTCCGTGCGCATTTTTGGTTCCTTCCTGAACATCAGCGTCAAGCCCCGCAGCGTGGAGATACGAGACAGCTACGTACCCCAGCTGCCTTTCTTCCTCTCCCAGTTCAACGAGACCCTGGAGGCCTTCCGCCTCGTCCGTAGCCGCACGGAGCACGTCTACCCCGACGCGTTTGCGAATCTCGACATCAAGCTGAACACGCTAGACCTCTCGGAAAACTCCCTCTACTCAGTTCCCTACGCCGTGGGAACGCTGGCGAGTGTGCGGGTACTCAACCTGTCCAGGAACTCCATTCCGATCCTCCGGCCGAGCCCGGTGTTCGCCAAGCTGCAGCAACTCAGGGTGCTGGACCTCTCAAGAAACCTGCTGGGTGTCGACCTTCAGGATGTGAGCGACCCCAAGGCCGTCAGGGGCAGCCCAAGCTTGCAAACGAGGCTCGCTCGGAACCTCACGCTGCACGAGTTCAACATCGAGGCGGTGGCCGACAGTCTGGAGGCATTGCTCCTGGCCGGCAATCGGTTGGCCGTCGTGCCGATGCAGCTGTACAAGCGCGCTTTCCCGCGTCTCCAAGTGCTCGACCTCAGCGAGAACTTCCTCACGACGCTGCCAGAATTCGCCGCCGTGCTCATGCCCAGGCTGAGGAACTTCACGGCCAAGAGAAACCAGCTCGAGTCGGTGCCCTTCTACAGCATCCCTGTGGTTCAGGAGCACGCAGATCTCACAGGTACGTCACTAAACTTTTTTTTTTTTCTTCTTCTAGGTCACATGGGGAGGGTCGCCAATATGGCACACACGGAAACAATTTTTAATCTTTAACCGTTAGTCGGTAAGGCATATCCTTTCTAGACACGCGTGTACCTTTAATCCGGGCAACTCAAGGCTGTGTTCGGGGGCCTACAGACAGAAGAAATATACACCAATAAGTTATCGAGTATGCGGGACTAAGAAGGACATAAACACCGAAAGCAACACTGCATCGACACAGTGTGTTGTTAACTGCCAAGGAAAAAAAAAAAAAAAAAACTCGAATGAGTTGCGCGATTATAGCCTATACCCGACAGCTTTCCGTGAAATGGTAACGGCATTACTCCTTTTCAGCCTTACTAATGTGTACAGAAGAAATAGAGGCACAGTCTCCCACAATATGAAAGATCAATTTACCTAGGCAGTTTATGCGGCGGCTCTAGCATATACTGGAACACTTCGTTTTTAGAGGGAGTTCACACATGTCTTCTCTGCCTCCAATCGATGTGAGCCTACCCTGACCAATGCGAATTCAGCACAGCCGCCTGAAACTGCCTCGTCGAATGGGTATTTTATATTGTTGGAGACTGTACTACAATAAGTGTGCCTTCTCGCACTTTTTAGGGTATGCTATAAAAATCACTATCAAGATCTTTCATCGAGAAGCCGCCAGGCTCCCAATATATTTTGAACACAATTTACCTAACAGAATTCCATGTGGAACTGATTTTACAACTTCGTAACCCAGTCTTTGTCGTTCCAATTCAGTAGAATATGTCAATGAAATAAACGCATAGACCAAACTTCAAGAGTAGATTTTCAACAAGGATTTTTTTTTTGTGTGTGTGTTACGTATCTTAGAAGTATTAGCAAAACGCACACAAAAAAAAGAGCACAACAGGCACAAACGAAGTATCTTTGTTTTGTTCGTGTGAACTGGGAGGATGACCTCACGTGCTTGAAATGTATCACGAAGACACTAAAACGTTTCAGGATTTCGGTTTTACGACAGTCCAGATGGTCGCTAAGATTATGTACGTTGAATCTGCCTATAAAACACCAATGCTCCTTTTTTTTTTAGTACCAAAAGGGATTAAAATAAGGAAGGGCGCACGCTATATATTCAATACATATGCTAAGCACGAAGCATGCTTACGTTAAGGTTACGCGAAAATGCATTGCGGAAGTACCCGCGGTGTTTGCTATACTTCGTTTCACTTTACGATGAACCCCAGCGGATGCTACGAGCCATAGGAGCCAGTCCAATCCTGTGCCAGTGTCATGTAACCGTTCGGAGGGGCGTAGTGATGCGCGGAGTCACGTACATATGTAAAATCTAAATTTCACTTCAGAGGAAAAAAGGAGAAAAAGCAAGAACGAATTTTTCACATGCAACTCCGTGGGCATGACAAAAGTGCACTTGTGGGCAACTTTTCTAATATGCTCCAGTGTCACCACCAAGCCACCAACAAACGCGCGTGTCAACCAGCGGCCCCAATGAAGCGTGACCGGGTCGCCAGCGAGGCGTTTTCTGCGAGCAGAGTTGGGCTGACCGTTCACCTAGCGCTTGGCTAGCGGTGAAAGGTCAGCCGCAACATTCTAAAGCGCCCCGAGAGTTTTCTTTCCGCTTACTTTTCAGTACCGCCTACTATCCTCTGCCGCAACACTTGGTCTCATTTGTGTAACAACAAAGTTATGCACAGACATTGTTCAATCCGAAACGTACTTGCCTAACCAGATGTTGGCTCACCTCGCAGGCGCCCAGAACAAACGGCGCACGTCGTTGCGCGTCCAAATACCACGTAAACATTCTAGGAATATGTAGCGGCTCGCCCTTTCGCCTCGCGTCTCTCACTGTCCCCGCAAAGACGCAGAGGAAACGTCGGACAGTCCGGGGCCCTTGGAGGCACTCAGTTCAAATACATCGGACTCTGGCATGCGATAAAAATAAAAAAAAAAAAAAAACATTTTGAACCGCGTATCGAAGCCCTGACACCCTTCTAGTGCCGCACGCCCTCAAAGGCTGTGTGGCTTGCTCCCTCCGCGTGCCGACGTAGCTTTGCGGCGACCTTTGCATCAGCGCGTACGTCCTGTCCATTTTAGTGGGCGCGAAGAAGACAGCACTGAGGTCGAACGTCGAGAGAGGACTCCCCCTCAAAGGGCCCCTCGGGGGGGAAATGAGCCTAATGACTCGTGCGGCCCCACACAAAGCGGCGGATATGCAAAGGGGGGGCTACGCTTCTCGATCAACCTTCAGCCACAATCGCGCCTCTTCGGCCTTTGTGTTGGTACGAAGCGAGAACGTCCCCAGCAGAACTCGCAGCCGGACAAGTGCAGCTTAGCAGGCGATGAGTTGCGCGGGGAAGCCGTTCCAGGTTGGTGGGGGAAGCCGACGCAACTGGTGCAGCCTGCCGAGTTACATTCTAGAGCAGCATCTACATACTAATCAGCTACTCTACAATCCAATGAAGTAATCGTCCTGCGCGCAGCCGTTGGATGACCGCTTAAATGACGAACAAAGGGAAGTCCGTTGCCCGTTCAACTGAAGGCGATCGTTTCGCAACGGACTTTCAGTCGTGTGGCTGGACAAGGACGGGAAGCTTTCTTTAATGTTTTTTAGCCTATACTCGTTCCTCTTCGCGGGGTTTTAATGCGCACGCTTCTGTTTGCGCTTGAGAGAGTTCGCGGGCGCGACGTGGCGAACCGACTTTAAATGCTGCACTTAGTTGCGACATCGGAAGCGCTCCCGAGATTTTCGAAGAGCCGCTGCCGTTTCGAACCGAGTGCGTCTGGAAGAAGACCAACAGAGAAAACGCGCCGCGCCCCGAAGAAAAACAGATTAACTAATCGAGAGACGACGCGCATTCGCCATTCTTTAAGGTTCCGTCGTCGTCGGCGAGAGAAAAAACAATGCGTCCAAAACACACACACACATAAAGAGTGCGTACCCCCGCAAGAAAGAATGAGCAAGGCAAGCGCGAGGCACTCAAAACCCTGTACCCTCTCTAGTTGCTTGAGAAACACTCGCGGCGTTTAACCTTACGCGCTTTCCATCTTTCGAAATTCCGAAGCGGGGAATCCAGACAGAGACGACGTCCGATCACCCCTCGCCGGATTGCCCAAACAACGCGGGGACGTCGATCATCCTGGGCCGCCAGACGGAAGTCGACGCATGGCAGCGAACCGAACCAATGACGACGGAAAGTAGACAAAACAGCAGTTGCAAAAGCTACCTTAACTCTAACGAAACACCGCTCACGGCGGAACGTGCAGGCGCGAGTGCGCGGAGGAATGCAAGGGGGCCCCCGCTAGTCTTAGGTACAACGGAATACCGCAGCGCTTGTTCAGAGAAAGCATACAAGAGAAGTTTTAGTCCCCGGGGACGCAATTGACGACAATCGCCATCGAACAAAAAATAGAAGACAAAAAAAAAAGTGTGATTAGTTCACCAATTTGAAAACTAAAAGCGGAATTCTAATTCAATTCAAAGTCGATGCAAAACCTTTTGCGCGAGGAAAAGAACTCTTTGTCGAAGGTTTCCGGAAATGAACTCCTTTGTTCCTCGGTGGAAATGTCTCCCTGATATACAGGCGTTATTGTTACAAACAGGTCCGTTATAAATTATGACCACCGTTTCTGCATACAATCGTACATACGTTTTCTCGATGCCCGCGCTGAATGGGCAATTTAAAAGAGAGAGAGATAGAGAAATATATGCGTTTTTACGTATTCGCGAAAACTAATAACTGAGATCAAATTAAGAATTAAACAGGCGGGAGCATAGACGGAATAACAAAACCAAACGGTGCATTTCTATTAAAGGTCTTTTAGCGGGAACAGTTTCAAAGTCGGTCGCGTTTCGCGAAAACCGAGCGGCGCGATACCAATAATTTCACGGTTGCTTAAGGCAGTCGAATCGGAATTCGACACAGCAAGTTGACGTCTATTGACGTACTCATCTTGTATAATGGAGTCTATGACGTTTCGGTATAAGAAGTTTCGGAACCGGACGTTGTCGGCACTGACGGTACGCGGTCAACTTGGTACTTTTCGGAGCGGGAAAGTTTTAATACAGGTCCAATTCAGTCTGTGGAAACTTGGTAGATTACTGAATCTACAATATCAATGATGATGTTTATATTGGCGATCCCCATTAAAGTTTAAACGACCTACTATCACAGCTTCATGCTTAATCGGGTAGACATGCTGCGAATATCTTATGCGGTCACGATCAAAAATGCATGTACCTAATCTTCGCACTTTGGTGCTTTGGCAATTTAAAGCTCTCATAGTTCCGTGCCAAACAACAAGAATGCAAATATAGATACAGCCGTTTAGCCGTGACCACACCAAAATGGCACAGTACATAGTGGCAGAAGCGTAAAACGGCAAATGTACGTAAAAAAATATATATATATATATAAGTTGGAGTTTCAAAGGGGAAAAAAAAAAGAAAAATAACATTAAATCGCCGGGTTATGCTACACCAATGTATTATAAACCACTATATTAAAATAAGGACGCTAAAGGCTTGCGAGTTTCAACACACATGAAAAAAAAAAAAAAGACAAATTTGGGAGTTTTACGTGCCAAACCAACGAAGGGCATCTGCCACGCCCCAGGGGAGGACTGATGAATAATTTAGGCTACCCGGGGATCTTTTGACATGCAACCGAAAAGCTGGGGTTACATGTCCCCTTCTCCGCGATAGGCCTCCGTCAGATTACGGACACCTCGGTCGGGATTCGAACCCGCCACCTGAGGATCCGTAGGCCGCCGCTTTGCCTCGAAGCCACCGTTCCAACCCACATGAAATTATACAAACGTGAATTTCTGTGGAAAAAAACCTGATGATCTCGAAATTAGCAATATTGTCAAAGTTCAAGTAGAATAAGCCTTTCTTTTTGCATATAACTCTGTGTATGAGTGTTGCTTCTCGTTACTTGTATCCCTGTTTCGCAGCGTGCTCTCCGTTCTCTCGTACGATATAAGAAACTCGTGACCGAGAAACTCCACGTGACCGAAAAAAACAAAGAAGGAATAGAACAGAAAGCTATTGGGACTTTTGTGTCACTGTCGAATGCTGTCATGCCATATTCTTGAGAATAAACAACAAGCAAAACCTACACATGATCGCCTTTTTCTTGCAGCAAAGTTCGACGACACGACTTGGATAAAACGGCGTTGGGTTACTCTTGGATAGGCATTCCGCACTGAATGGTCCGGTACCGAAATGTCTCGGTTGAGAAACGTCCCGGTGCCGAAATGTCTCGGCAGAGAAACGTCCCAGCACAGAAATGCCCGGTTTCCCATCAAATCACCGAGAGCCACGTAGAGCAGCGCTGCCAAAATGCGTGGGCTTCGGTGCAGCGCAGATGTGCGCGTCATGAAACCCAGCAGCTCGGAAAGGGGCGGGGTGGTGCACAGCTTCAAATGAAACCAGGCTTGTATTATCGTAGGAGACGGGGCATTTTCAAACTTCTTGTTTAAGCTTTAGGCAGTTTGGTGTTTTACCGAGCTCATTAAATATAAAACCGAAGGAGATTGAAGCGCACAGTTCACGATCAAACTTCTGATAATTAACGAACACGTTTTTCTTTCTTTTTTCTTTTATTGTTGTATATTTTAAAATTTTAAATATGACATTACTCCTCTGTTTCAAATTACACGCTCCAAATTCGAGGGTGCCTAATGATAGAATCGTACGCGCATAGTTGAGATATTTTGTTAGTTCTGCATCTTCGTCATATTAATAATATTACCAGAGAAAATAAAATAATTGCAGAAACTGATGACTGATAAGGAAATCTGAGACGTACATATTTTCTCATTAAAAAATGAAAAAAAAATGAGCGTTGGTTTTGTGACTCGGTAGGCCGCGATGGGATAGAAAAAGGCTGGAAGAAAGACACCAATTATCACCAACTATTTATTTTTTTTTTCTCATAGGGAAGAGCAACTCACTGTGAATTCCCTCAAAAGAATTTCGTAGCTGTTCACGAAGCTTTGCAGTTGGACGGGCCCTGTCGAAAGAAAACCCACAAAAAAGCCTAGACATTCAAGCGAGGGTGCGGTGCTGAATTACGCAATTATGTGCTTTTAACCCACTTTTATATTGATGTTGCGGCAGCTCTACACGAGGAATTCAGTTTTCCTTCACGTCATAACCGGTTTGAGCAAACTATACGGCGCATAACAAAGGCACCTCGGCGCGGATTTTTCTCTGTCCCTTTCATCGTATACAAACTCAAAAAAACATCGCGCCCTGAATGCTCTCACGCTCAGAGGGCACGTTTTTTTCCCCCTTGTTTCTTCTTCCTAAAACTTGTTTATTTTTATTATTTTGGCAACCCCTCGTTTGAATGTATGTCGTTCTTTGAAACGTCATTGAGAGGGTTATGTATTTTGCCAAGCTAGAAACGTTGAACATGAAGGTTTTACGAAGCTGTGGGGTATTTTCACGACCTCAACCGCAGTCAGTCTGGAACAAGTTTGAATGAAAAAGTCTTAGCCGATAACTTACGACTATTCCGAGCGAACTCAGACAAACGTTTCAATCATCGTTCCGAGCTTAAAACAATACATCCGAATATAAAAACAAAGGCATATCCAGCCAATAGTATCACTCGTTTTCACCTCAAGAACAGCAGTAAAAGAGGTCGGGCACCTCGCGGAGCATTACTAATTTTCCCTTTTATGTAGAGAATTGAGACATATAGGTGGGCATTTCAGATTAGATGTTTGTTATCTTACCAAGATGTACCCGTTTCAAATACCAAAAGCATCGCTTCTTTTCCCGTCAACCAAATATTGTAATAACTACTTCGCGCGGCGTATGAACAATGCGCAAAACGTCCTCTTTTCTTGAGTTGAAAACGGGCATAGTTGAAAAGTGAAAACTCGGGAGCTTAATGGCTTAAAGCAATGATTTTCACGAAGGTGTCCGCAAATCGGTCAAATATTCTGCTTACAGCGGTAAGTTAGACTGAAGATAGCGTAATAAGGCAGGCGAGTCCGTTAAAGTTAAACATTTGTAAAACCCAAGACGGAGGCTACAAAGAGCGGACAAACACAAGACGTCTCAAACGCAGCTACTACATTTTATTTAGGACACTTCTTTAGAGATGATGGGTATAAAAGAAGTGTCCTGAATAAAATTTAGCAGCTTCGTTTGAGACGCCTTGTGTGTGTCCCCATTTTGTAGTCTCCGTCTGTCTTGGCTTTTAGAAATATTCAAGTTAAACTGCCTTCAAACAACGTCGTGCGTCTCCCCTGAAGATGGGTCATTTAGTCAGTGCGGTATACAACTGCAAACCCTTTTTTTTTTTTTTACGTCCATTACGCAGTGGGGATAACACGACCGCACGCCAGTACGGCGCTCTCCCAGCTCGAAACGGGTAGGGGCTGGAATCCAACCCATGACAATGAACCATCGAAAGACCAAACGTTCGGATCATCCGGGAATCTTCAAGACTGAGTCGAAATTATGTTTCGCGCCGGGCTGAAGCAGTCGAGCAGAATAGACCGATGCCACCAAGCGAACTGCGCAGGCGCGCGCATTCCGGAAGTGGTGCCGCCGCCATGCTACTTGTAGTCATCCGGTCCCGGCTTCCCGGCTACATACGGCTGCGCGTACGTACATCATCATAGGTTATCATTTGGCTTGCCCCGGTATCACCTTGATTCTCTTGCATGTTTTTACTTCATAAGATTGTGTTGTTTGCGATGCCTTACTTTCCTCAGCAAGTGCAGAAAAGCAGTTTCAGTCGTCTTATCGCTTTAGAATCGCCTTGTCGTCTGCTTCGTCGTCGTCTGCTTCTTCGTCTTCGTGAACGCGTGAGCCCACTGCCGTTCACCCAATAATCCCACTGCGGCCGCGGAGAAAAAAAAAAATAAAAAAAAAAAAATACGCCGCCACTACTTGAGCATTTTGACTCCTCGGACGTCTCGATTACCTTGCAAACAAGTGAACATCTATTGCAATAGCAAAGAACAACAAAATTTGAGGGACCATTGGCTCGGTGTAGCACCACGGAACAGCATCAAATGTGATAAAAAAACTGAGCTTGGTGGTGCTCAGTTTTGTGCATAACGTTTAATCAGCCATCAAGTAAGAGTAGTTAAATGGACTTTCTTGGTGAGCGATAGTTTTCTAAAAGTTGTTTTATTCTGGTTGACAGCCTGTGCGACAGAGTACAGATGAACAGCGGGAGAAGCCTGCAAAGAAAAGAACTGATCTACAGAAAGGCCAGGCCTGACGCGCCGTAATAATTGGCATCTATCAAAAAGAGGCTACCATGCCAGATACCTGAAAGCTTGGGGTGGAGATGATTTTTCGTGCAGAGTTTCGATTCAGTTTTATTTTGTTTGCGCAAGATCCGAACGCTAACAGTCGCCCGACGGGGGAAGCTTTTTTCTGTCCTGATCTTTTGAAGCACAGTTGGGCTTGAAACATGTCGTCACAATAACAGTTATAACCACAAAAATACACCGAGCAAGAAGTATATTAAAAACGGCCTCCACAAAGCAGTGCGGAGGTCCTATTTGAGATAGACCAACGAATAGACCGCTACGGAGCAAATGGTCAGAGGGATTCCAGCTTACGGAACACTTCGGCACGCTCCATGTCTCGTGCCCTGTAATCTTACACATTTTAGCTGACGTGCAACAGGTTGGATATTAATTATGAAGCAAATCGCGAAACAAATTGTAAAACGCTATTTTTCCTGCCGCTCTGTCCGGCTCTGTTGACCTTTCTTTGCCATGCTTCATTCTTGCGGGAAGACATAATATCCGAGGCCTTTTTGCCTGGTGCTGTTATAGCGTCGTGGCATACAGCATGTCAAGCCACCGATTGAAAACCATGAGTAAACACACCTGGCTAAAAGTTTCGTGCTAACCCGAAAACTTCCAAACGCCGAGCATACAATGCGCATCGACGCGGCCGGAAAACTGGGGAGAACTACAGGTACCAGGATGCACCGCGGCAGCGGTGGCGTCGCGCAACTCCTCGTGAGATCGGTCTATTGGCCAAAAGCTCAGTGTGATGTCTTGAGTAGGATTAATTCCGCTTACATCGACGGAAATAAGTGCAATGTCAGACTGTCAACCTTGACAGTGTCTGTTTAAGAATGCGACGACTCCAAGCTTCTATACTGTGCGCTTTGCACACACCATCAAACATGTAGTTCGCAGCAAGTAGCCAGGATGACAAGTCGTGACGTCACGGATGGGAATCATAAGAGCCCTACCGAAACATCTCGGCGCGAATACTCTCGCTTTCATCGTGTCCAACGACCGCTGTTCGTCGCAGGCAACCCCATCCGGTGCGACTGCCAGGCCCTGTGGCTACACGAGTGGAACGGCCAGCCAGGGCCGGGCCCGCCGAGCTCCAGCACGAGGGCAAACTCCATCCCAAACTCGAGCGCGGCTCCTCCGGGAGCCGAGGGCGCCGGCTCGGTCCGCCTGCCGCCCTGCGCGAGTCCCGAGGGCTTTCGGGGCCGCTCGCTGTCTTCCATCACGCCGGAGGCCCTCTGCTGGCACGGCAACCAGACGCGGGCCTTCCGCTACGTGCTCAAGGGCTTCGAGAAGCACGCCTTGCTGGCGCTGACGAGCCTAGACGCCAGCATCACCGTCACCTGGAGCGTCTCCGATCCAGGTAAATATGACTTCGCACTGCGTTCGCTGCCTGTGCATGCTCGACCAAAATACCATTGACGCAATGACGCACGATTAGACGTTGGAGTACGTTAGTGTGGCTTACGTCGGAGGTACGACCGCGGTTTACCACGGCATGACGGTAACCAAGCGTTCCATCCCTGGGTTTTAGCCTTCGCCTTCGCAACGTAGGCTAGTCATATGGCACTGCGTGAATGGGCGTTAACATGCGTACTATATAGATTCATGGAACTGATGTTGACTTCACGTCGGTCGCCTATCTTATATACTTCGTTTCGCCTTAAGTACGGACGCAGCCGACGCCACGAGCTGATGGGACCAATCAGACAACATCAAAAGGGCATCATCACGGTGTACATCATGTTTGTTTCTGTACCTGTCCTATCATAGCTGAACCAATCAGTAGTGTGAATCACAATAGCTACTTAAAAAAAGAGACGTTTGCAATTTTCTGTAATGCCGAATTAGAGCGCAGCTCTTGAGGAGGAGGAGGGGAGGGTATGCCCCTCCCCCTCCTCGTCTGCTCCCCTCCCATTTAGCGGGAAATTTTCGCTCAATTTGCCGCTAAATATAGCGAGGAAATTTTGGCGCTAAATTTAGAGGGGGAATTTTGTCAGCTAAAATTTAGTTTCCGTTTAATTTAGCGGGGAATTTTTTTCCGCTAAAATTTTGTTTCCGCTAAATTTAGCGAGGAAATTTTTTAGCTAAATTTAGCGGGAACATTTTTCCGCTACACTTAGCGGGGAAGTTTTCCCGCTAAATGTAGCTGGGAACTTTTCCGCTAAATTTAAGCGCCGTGTGACGTCACGACGGTGACGTCATTAATTATGGGAACGTCCCATAATGCAACGCGCGGTTACGCCGACGGCGACGCCGCTCAAGCCGGAAACGGGCGCCAAAGAGCCGCGCTTTAAAAGAACGCAGGTCGAAATACGCCGGTATCGAATGCAAAATACTCCCGGCAGGAATCACCAGGAAACGGGATGCTGTGCATGCAAAACAGAGGCAAACGGAATTTTAAAATGCATAATACCACTGTGGTCACAAAAGTTCTCTAACGAGCTCAAGAGTGAAATTTGTTATTTTCAAAAGGGATATTCGAACACTTTCACATTAAGCCAGTCGTCACGTCCGAACTTTTCGCTCGACACGCTGTAACGACGAAAAGAATATACATAAAGGTCGCACTAAAAAAAAAATACAACGTACTGTACTTCGACAATGGCTAACGAGAGGCTGCGAAACACCGGGGTTGCAGCGATGCGCTCGACTCGCTCCAGCTCCACGGAGACGCCGCGAATTGTCCTGGTTTGTGCCAGCACGCGAACGCGCGAAACGCCGGTATTTAGCTTGCGTAGATGGGACCGCTGGGGCTCAATTATTTCACGCTTGGCTTAGCTTCTCTCCAAGGTTGGCCGTTGTTTCATTTGGCCAGACAGGAGCTTAATGTTTGCACTGCCGTGTTACAGCGGTAGAAACTGAGAAACGTGTTTTTTGTGCAATCTCCACGAGTATCAGGCTATAGTATTCAAGCGCGCCGTCAGTTCGTCTCTCGTTTCTTTTCGAAACAAAGGAGCGCGGAGGGAAGGGGATTGTGGGAGAGCGAAAACGAAAGCAGGAATTGGGTCACACGCCTAGCGAGCTGTTTAGGCTTTGCCTTCGCAACGAAGCAAAGTGACAGTTGTCTCCTGTCAGCGCCGACCGACAGGCTGGCTGGTTGCCTCGTCGCGCAACTTCGCTACCCAACAGAAAACGAGCGGTCATGTGTTCCCGAATAAACGAGACGAGGGTGCGACGGCGGCCGGCATGCACACATGGCCGGACCACTGGCCAGACAAAAGTGGGAGGGCCAAGGACCAAAGCCTCCTCCCGATTTCGCCTAGCGAGACATGCTTACGGAAAAGGGCAAAAAGAGCGCGGCAGCGCGTTCTGGTGGCATTTATCATTGGACTCTCCGGTCTCGTCTTCTCACGCACCGCCAGGGGAGACGCGCGGTGGTAATTAGGCGCCACCGTCGCCAGGACAGCCCAAGGAGGCTGCCGGCATGCCAAGTGGGCCGAGACAATGTGGCCCCGCGGCGCCAAGGGCGCACCGGTCGCCCTCATTAGCGGACGCGGTTCCGAGGGGAAGACACGACGCGCCTGAGCTGCACGTCGCCCAAGGCGATGTCGACGGCGGCCACTGATCGTCGGTCAGCCGGCAGCGAGCTCAGCCCCGGCTCGCACCCGGAGAACAGTGCGGGTGCGAGCTGATGTCTGTTGTGTCTCGCAGCTTAATTAATACGCCCCTCAGGCACAGTCGCTGAGAAAAAGAAACTAGACCGTGCTAAATGCCAGCACAACGAACCTTTTTAACGTACCGACGCCCAGTTCCGCTAACAGGAGCGACGGCGACTGACCTTGTTACCCTTTCAAAACATCCGTACCCAGTTCTGAGAACAGTACACTGCACAACGTTCATCGCTTAGCGAGACACTCGCAAAATGGTTACAGGGAGCGCTTAATGGATTAACACCATAACAGCAACAAAAAATAAAAAAAAAAGCCACCAGAAACCGTTTTACAGTGAATGCGGTCAAGCCAGGCGAGCTATGTGTTTATCTCATTCTCCGTGCGATCTTGATTCTTTATACACGAATACGCGCTCGCAAAAGGCTCGCAAAAGGAAGTAGAAAAAAACAAGCAAACTGCGAATTTCATATTTTACGGTAAAGCGAATGCTCGCAGAAAAACTTCTGAAAAAGAGCAGAGCAAATTGCCGCTGCGCAACAAACGAGTTCCTCAAAAGTCCTACTGCAAAAAGCAACAACAAAAATTCCCGTGTTCTTACAGCAAAGAAAACAAAGCAAAACAAGGTACAAAGCCTATCCCGAGTTAGGTAATACCCGGTGGCTCACCGGTCGGCCGGTCTCCTTTGAGGTCGCAACGGAATGTCTCGATCGTGCGATCGCCAGACCGAACAAAGGCGGACAATGTAACGTGGACGCAATGCCGAGGCCTTGAAACGTGTTCGCTTCTGTCTGCCCAGGTCTCCGCTGGACCGTGTTGTACCGCAAGGAAAGCACCAGCCCGTACCTGATGACCGCACACCCCCGGGGCGGTGAAGGGACGCACACATCAAGCGACGAAGCCGTCTTCACCGACGTCATCGGCGGCTTGGAACCGGACACCGCGTATGTGGTGTGTGTGGGGGTCCACCAGGCGCCTCCCCTGGTGCCTTACCTCATGAACCCCAAAAAGTGCCAGAAAGGGCGCACGAAGAAGAAGCCCCAGCCTGCCTCCCAGGTAACCACCTCCGTCGTGACGGTCAACCTGCAGGTCACATCTCCGCTGCCCTACCAGAAGAAGGCACGAACCATCCTGCTCTCCATCAAGCCATCCAGCAAATCCCTGACTCTACGCTGGAAAGTGGCCGCCCTCCAAAAGTCGCCGAAACGCTCCGTACTGGCTAAGGTAACCGAAGAACAAGTCTTGCCGAGGGAGTGGGTCATCCTAGTCAGGAAGTTCGCGACCCAGAACTTCACGGAAATCCGCATCTCTGATGGTGGCGGCGAGAGCAAGTCTAACAGTACATACAGCTACACAGTGCCGAACCTCGACGCGTCCACAGCGTACGATTTGTGCTTGATCGCAATGGATTCGGTACTGGAAGACAGCTTGGACACGGTGCCCGGCTACATAAAACATGTGCCAAACCACTTGGTTTCGGCCTCAAAAATGGACTCCAACCAGACAACTATGATTTGCAAAGAAATGCTTACCAAGCCCGCGGACGAGCCGATTCCAATCAAGACCATAGCCGTTGTAACAACCGTTTCCACGACAACCACGGCCGTAGTTGTAGCCCTTATCTGTTGCTGCTTTCCCAAGAAAACCTTCCGGAGCTGTTTTCGCAAGGTGAAAACAAAGTTGAAGCCAACGGACGCTGTCAAACGAAATGCTTCAGAAAAGGACAATTCTTACCACAGCAGCGACAACTCCGTCAAGTTGCTCGTTCCCACGATCAACTCAGCTTACGAAGACACTGAGCCCATAGTCATGCCACGATGCCAGACTTCCAGAAACACCAACAGATCACGCTGCAGAAGTCTACCAGAGGCCCCCAAAACTCCGCCACTACCTCCAGAGCCACCGTCGCCGTCACCACCACCGCCACCGCCGCTACCGCCACCACCACCGCCAGTGGCGCCACCGTCGCCGCCACCTCCCCCAACGTCTACCGACAGGGCTCCCAACTTGCTATATTCTCCGTGGGAAGATTTGACACTGGGTCGGAAACCACCCCGCAGGGTCAAGTCCGAGCACTTCGCAAACTCCATGGCTTACCTACAGCCCAGACGCGTATCGCCTGCCGATTCCAGCAGCGCGTCCATAACCAAGAGCCAGACTGGAAGCAGTGGCGAGGGCGCCTACTTATCGCCCAAGGCGGCATTCGCTCTCGGGCAGGGTTACCTCAACGCAAACTGTATCCAGTACCTGGACGGTAAGAAAGTCCAGGTGTACTCGCACGGATCCAAGACCCTGCCCAAGAGCTGCTTAAGGTCTTCGTCACGCAAGCGGCGCGCCAAAGCCAACAACTTCTTCCAGACCAGATACAGTCCGTCGGTGAAGAAGAAGGAGAGAGACAAGACACCACCGCCGACGCCACGGTCGTCAACGACGCCTCGGCGAGGCACCATAGGCAGGTCTAGCCAAAGACTAAGCTTCAGGACGTTCGGCAAGGGACGTCACGAAGACGGTACGGGTAAGACGGTGAAGAGCTTGCCACCGCTGCCGCCACCCCCGCGTCCGAAATCGGAAAACAGTGGAATCGGCGCCAGCACGAGTGCCAGGGGTTCGAGCAGACCCGAAACAGCCAGCGACTGTGAGGTGTTCATCGAACACGTCTAGGCAACTTCATATGCGCGCTTTCTGCGTTGCCCGGGGACGATGTGACATTCCGCCCGCGAGCCCCGGCTTTGAAAAGCAGAGACAGCGGGGCAAACTGACTGAACGTCGACTAACAGTAGCACTTTGTACCGTACCTTCTGATAAATGGAGGAAGAAGCCAACCCGTAACAGTTCAATGCAACGCTATGCGCATTCGTGAAAACTTCAGCACAGAGATTCACCGCGGACAGTGCATACGCCTCTACAGTTGTGTTCCCCGTCCGTTTAACAAGACTCCCTCCCAAGCTTTTTTTTTTTTTCCTTATGTTACGTACGGCCCCACCCCCCATCGTATTAGGCATTGGACAAAGGAGCTGATGTAGTGTAATACGACTCTCCTTCAAAGTGCATGGTCGGTTGGACGCTTTCAAGAACAGCCGCCGAAAGAAAAGTGCGGAAAGATAGCGCGAGACAACCTCCCACGGATAGTGCTCGAACTGGCACGACTGCCCTCCTTTATTGTTTTTTTTTTTCGTGCCAGAAACGCGCTGGGCCACTGCGTTCGGCAAAAATAAAACGTGTGTTTCAGTGCGTGCTTAAATGCGTCCAGGAGAGACCGTTATCACAGCTGTCCGGATGTTGCAACTTCGAAGAGAGTATATATACTGCACCGGGCGACAGGTGTACGTGATGGGTTTCTTCAGATGCTCACGCTCGTATGCACAAGAAGGACAGCCGAATGTCAAATTTGCTATACAAATGTTACTATAGTGGGAACTCAATGTAAAATAAGAACATTAAAAGCGCAAAAAAAAAAAAAGACAGGAACTAAGTTTTGGAATTTTGATATGACCTTCAACATATCGAAATTGTGCCGCATCTATGATGGGGAAACCCCGATTACATAAACGCTTTACCAGCTGTTTTGACACAAGTTTTAATAAGGAAGGTAAAGCAGATACACATTTCTCGCCCCGAAAATGGTGCGAAGCCTCGCAACGTTTGTACGCATAATCTACGTGCAAAAGCTGCACCACGCTAGAGTAATATTATACTTCAACTGCGTCTACTCGTATTGATACCTCCTTTTAGAAGAGTTTCACTGGAGAACAGCAGCAGCAAAAGACAGCAGAGGTGAATGCGGCAATGAAGTTGTTTTATCGAAAGTCAACTTCACCTCTAACTGCACCACCTCAGAAGTGCCCTGGAGTTGTTGCAGGCGGTGTTGTTGCGTGGGCAGACTAGAAAGAAGTAGGTGCTGAAAAAGCTAGCCAAGAAAAAAAGAGAACAAGCACTAAACATCTGTGTACACGTTTCACTTTTGTGTACCTACACGACAAATTCAACAATATCCTCTTGCCCAGTAAAACAAAAATGGAAAAAAATTAATGTGTCCAAGTAACATGATAACATATAAGAGCCTGTAAGACCATATTATATATATATATATAGGGTGGTTCAAGTCACCAGGCTCGATCTAAAATGGACCGTAAAAATCGACACCTGCACGTAGCAATCTAAACTTTTCGTCAAAGGTGTATTTCACAGGTCGGTTTCTTCTTGTAAATTTACAAAGCGTAGCTTTCTTTCCGTAAAAAATAAGGCCAAGAAACTTGTCAGGGTCTACGGCGGGCAGCGACGCAGACGACGGGGGTCCAGTAGCGGGGTGTGTTTGGCGTTCGTATTGATAGATGGCGCAACCTCCTCATCGCGACGGCTCGCGACAACCGTGGTTTATTGAAAGAACATAATCTTTTTTGAAATGTACCTTCTGTTAAAAAAAATAATGCAACAATAAAAGCAAAACTTAAAGTTAAAAAAAAAAAAAAACGCGTCTGCATTACGACGGTGCTTTTGATGCCAACGAATTTCGTCTGCGTGTCGGCTGCTTTCTTTCGCTGGTCGGCTGCACCTTCGGACGCTGCTCCCGACGCCATCTATCAATATAAACTCCAAACATACCCCGCTACTGGACTTGGTCGCCTGGGTCGTCGCCCGCCGTAGACCCCGGCAAGTTTCTTGGCCGTATTCTTTTGCAGAAAAAGAACTACGCTTTGTAATTTTATAAGAAAAAACCAACCTGTGAAATACACCTTGGACGAAAAGTTTAATTGCTACGTGCAGGCGTCAATTTTTACGGTTCATTTTAAATCGAGCCTGGTGACTTGGACCACCCTATATAATATGCATTGTATAATTCATTTAAGTTCTGATATGTTTATTGGACTAATCATATATATAACGTTTATTTTTTTTTTTGTGTTCACACCAAGAGTTGCTTACAGTGCAGCAATGTTGCTGGCTTCCAGAGCGCAACAGCAACGTCGAGTTGCTCGCATTGGTAACTATATATGAAATTAAAGCTATTCGCTCTGGATAGGCACCATGCAGTGTGGTTCTAATTCGGGCACGATTCGGGGACCAATCGAGTTAAGTCAAAAGGGTTCACATCTTCGTTCACGGTGTATTTACTGGATGACACCCGGCTTTACGCAGACACCAAATAGTGCCAAAGAAGTATGATGTGGGCACACCAATTAACACAGTACCGTAATAACAATGAAGAAGAAAAAACATACTGGATTATTAAGAAAAAGCTCACACGTCCGAATCAATATTAAACGCAAAATGCCCCATCATGTTCCCAAGTCACATTGGAAACGCCTTTAAGGTGCCCTGAGGAGGTTTCCGAGATCGCCTAAATGTGGCGATAACTCACCCTCCGGGCTCTAAGCATCATAGAAAGGCCTAAATCCTGACGATACGCGGCCGATTCCCCCATTAAGAAAGCAATCAATGATCACAACACACCGAGGTCATCTCCGGCAAGGAGAGGAGCATGTTCCGATACCAGGGCCCTCGTGCCTCCGACAGGTGGAACCGCGGAGTGATATCTCGAATGAGCGCGGCTCGTTGCCCATGGAGCCTGGACTATCATTCAACCCAGCGCGCGCGCGCGCTCGAGAGCTGAAGAACCGGACACATCACTCCCGCAAAAGACAAGACAAAAAAAAAAACAGTGCGCTGATTTTTAGACGATTATTGCAGTTTTATGTACCCTCTCCGCGAAAAATGAACATTTTTAACTACTCCTATTTGCTTGTATTATCTATAAAAGAATACACATTTTGTAATAACAGCGTTTGCAATCTCAAGGAAATGTCTCGTTTTCATTGGTCAACTGTCGTCCTGGCGGCCGGAACGACGCTCCCCATCGCCGGAGATGATCTCAGTCAGTTCGATCTTTGATTGCTTTCTTTAATAGGGAAATCGACCGCGCATCGTTATGATTTATGGATTTCTAGTATGTTTAGGGCCCGCAGGGTGAGTTATCGCCCTATTTAGGCACCTCCTCAGGGCACCTTTAAATTTCGCGGTGACCGAAGTTTCGATAATACCCGAATCTAAAATATCCAGGAAAAGAGCACCGCGCGAATAAATCTCCAATTTAATTCATGTGAGCGGTCCACGGGTCATCTTACCACTCATCGCAAAATTTCTCTTTAACCAAAAAATTGCGAAAAGCGAGCCCCTGGAGGCAAAATATCAAACCCCCGAACACAGCACCGTGTTCAACGTACACACACGGCATTTACACCGTCAGATTACTCACGTGACGTTAAACAATTCTCTCCATTCTCGGTACCCTCCGCTGTGTCCTGACCTTTACCCACAAGCGTCCCGCCTCAGTGCCCTCTCACATACAGAGATTGATGAAGTCGCTCACACGCATTCCATTAAAAGTTTCAACGTCCGTTGAGCAGATGCTGCAAATGCGCTTGTAAGAACCAGGAAAGTGGTTTCGCTACTTTCGCATGCATGCTTAGAGAAAACAATGCAACCGCTTTATATCCATAACTGCACACATAACAGAGGATCGCCTCGAGGATTACACAGTGATGGGGGCTGCTTCACTGACCAATGTGACGGACGAGGCACGGTATATCGACGCAATAGCAGTAAGACAAAACTCCGTGCGATATTTAAAGTACGATAAATTTCTGTAAATCATATTTTCGCGGGAGATGAGTTTGGAATGCAAACGCTTGACTTCAACAGCAACCAATGGAGTCTCAACGTTTACACGTGTCACAAATTATCGCGTGAATGTTCGCAAGACTGTGGGAGGTGGCATATTGAATATGGAGTCTGAAGAAAAACCCCGAGTTCGGCCTTTGCTCGGAACCTGCCCGATTAAGTTACCTACCTCAGCACGCAAGTTGACAATCGAGAAGGGGAGAAGTTTTCACTTCTAATGTAGTTTCACTTTAACTCAACAGTCAAGTTACACTTTCATCGAAAGGATATATTCCTGAACAATATAATTAAATCAGGTACATGTCGTTCAAAGTAGCGATAAACGGCATTATGCTCCGTTTCTAACCTCAGAACATTCTTCGACTTCCTGAGCATGAACAGGGCCACCCAACAGTAGGGCAAAACGAAGAAAACAAAACGCGCAGTTTTCCTCGATTTTGTCTTCCCAGAAAGTCGAAGCACGTTTTTAGTGCAAAGTGGTTTCCCAGTGATGAAGGATTGAAAGTCACAAAAATTTCCAGTAAGCAATTTTTATTTGCCACTAATTAGTCGTTCAGAATCGAAGGAAATTATGCTTGCTGGGTTAAAAGACGATCAATTACGTTGAAAATATATATATTTTTTAAATCTTACAGCTTATGCAGGAAATAATAAAAAAAAGTATCTATTCAGTAGACCATTGAGTGCGCATACAATTGCGTAAACACCTAATAAAAAAATCACTAGAAATAAAAAAAAAAAGAAAGTGAGAAAGAGATGTTGTAAGGGCATGCATGACAACGCTCCAAGAAAATAAACGACTTGTCAGTTGCGCAACGTCCCGAGCATGAGTCCAATGACATAACGAGCCTTCCAAGCTGTCCCAGAGGAGAAGGAAGAAACTTGAAGATGACGCGAATGTCACTCACTGGCAGCTTCGCCGAGGAGACCGACGACGACGTTGCGAAGAAGCGGCGTGCAACGTCAACCCCGATTCTGAACATTTTGCCGGCTCTGACTGACGTGACCTAGTAATTACACGCGGCCAAGTAATCCCTTCCGTTCACAGCTAGGACACTCAATCGCACCCGCCCGCAATTCGCGGCAAACACTGACCGCGCAGTCACCCCAACGAAAGAATAACGCGAAGTGCTCAAAACAGAACAGTCAAACGAAGCCTAGCTGAAACGAGAGGAGGGGAAGAAAACAAATACAGGCGCACTGCCACTACGTCCTCATACACAGCCGCGCGGCTGGTTCTGCAGTTCACCTTGGAAGTACTACCAGCCCGTCGACAAAGAGCACAGTCGTACAAAAACCGGTTTCTGCGCAATCACAGTTTCTTAGAAAAGTGCGAAAATGCTTTCGTTTTTAGCAGTAGTCATGAGCACTGTGCGGGAAAACTTCTCGGTTTATCCTTTGAGCATGCTGGTCGTTGAGAATGCTGATTACGCGATAGTGTGACGCAACGCCCCCACCTGTCCCGTTTTAGCCTTTTGAGTTACCGCCAAGCTCCACCCTTGTCTAGGCTATTCAATTCGCTAGCACTCGAGACAGTAACAAAGTAAACGTTA